GTTGCGAGATGTGGATTGGTTGCAAACTGCAGGCCGCTTGCGTGTGACTTAGTGCATTCGTTTTTCCAACTGAACACTGCACTTTTTTGGAAAGTAAAACATCCTATTGCAAAGGCAGAGCACCTTTCAATAAATCCCAAAGTAAATATGTAAAGCAACGTTCCAATTAAGAATACTTTTTGCATGCCAAGTCTGGGATTCAGAGCTACTACCCAGTGAATTCACATGGCTGTATTTTTCACATGTTCATCACATCTCCATATTCATGACTGGAGCTTTTTTACTACATGAAATCAGCACCCAAAATCAACCACCACATGTTTTAATATTTACTATCCATATGAATATCACATTACTGAAGTGTTTACCCCATTACCAGTCTTTTGGAACAATGTTATTTAAGGAAAAATAATTTAACTACTCTCAATGTAGATAGACTCCATGAATAGCCATTAATTGATTAACTACCTAAATCCATTAGATGATACTGTAACTGCTAAATTATGTTCCCTTTGGTTATAAAGTTAAGCACTTTGTGAAGTTTGAAGCTGTATACTGTCAGTGTGACAAATATACAAACAAAACTAGCAGCATTTTATGTCCACATAAAGACAAAAGGTCTTCTACTATGGGGAATAATTGAGATGAACTTATCATCATCTTATTAAATGCTTATTTAATGTGTTCTCTAAGAATGCCTACTTGAAGCAAAGCTTGGGAGTTCTACATAGCTTGCTAATAAATGTCTAGGCCCTCAACAGAGGTAAGTGGAAAAAGAATGTGTAGATAAGTACAGGTATAAACAGAAACTAGGACTGTTTATATCAAGGCAGTGGAAAGGCATGATGAGGTGGAAGCATTCTTGTTCCAGGTTCTTAAAATCAAAGTGATATTGCCAAAAAAAATCACCTGTCAGCTTCAAAACTGTCACAGCATCCTTTGAGACCTTTGGAAGGGTGTCAATGTAGGGTAACCTAGTTGTGTAGAAAGAAACCCACTTGGTGAGGAGACTTATGAATTTCTAGGAAAATGAGACATATAGACAAATTCAACAAAGGCCATGAAGTCCTATTGATCAGTTTTCAAAATATGTGCTGTTCCTGGCCAAACAAACCAAGAACATGTTGCAAATGAGAATGGGAGCAAGCTGAACTGAGCAGAGAGTTCTGCAACCTCAAATTTTTCTATTCTCCCATCCTTACTACACACTGAAATTTCTGAAGAGAGAAAAGCTACAAATTATTCTCTTGGGAATGCAATAGGACTGTTTTAATCCATGCTAGATTGGAGCAGAAAGAGGAATATGTCGGTGATGGAATTGTAGCCTCCTAGCTCCTCTGAGTTTCTTGAAACAAGGAGACACAAGTACACCCAGTCCATCAATATGTGGCTGTAGTTTTGGCTGATTTAAATGGAACAGACAGTTAATACCTTCTATAGTTGCTCTCAAACCTGTTCAATTAGAGCTCCATTTTCATTTGTGTTTTAAATGAAACTAACTACCTATTTCAATCAACAGTAATCTTCCTGTTAAAGTAAACTACTTGTGTGAATCAACATCTTGGGAAGTCCCTTGTTCCAGTTACTGGATCAGAGCTCACCTCTACTAATGCAGCCCTTTCCCTGCCCTTTCAGTTTCTTGTCTAACAAACTGAATATACACATTTCTATATATGCACGAACTCCTCCCCGTTCTTACAGGGGAATCCACTTGTGGGAGTATAACTTGTGTTCATGCCTATCTTGTACAGTGACCTGCTTGGAGTAGTAGGGATTTCTTGCTAATTCAAGAAATTTCTTACCTACATTTCATTATAAAAGAAACCCAGTGTGGTAAATATACTGGATTAAATCCTTCTGAATCAAGTTGCACTTCTTCCATCCAAGTATGCTATCATTAGGAACTTGTATTTCTAGTCCAGGGAAAAAATGGGAAGAAAGGCCAGTGAATGTGGCAGAATGTTGCTAGCTACTAAAATTGATGCTGCTGTGCTCCTTACCTTCAGGATCACTCTCTTTGTTCCAGCCAGGGTTTTCCTGGTTGGGAAAAACCAGTGGCCTTTTATCCTTCTTGCATTCAAATTCTAGTTCTGCTTTGTTACACATGGCTATGGCTACATCCAGCTCACCAATGACTCCAACCCTTACAGCTTCCAATAGCTCATAGAGATCATGGTCAAGTGAACATCACAAAGGGAGCATCTAAAGCCACATGATCCCATTCTGGAAAGGGTATCATATCAAGTTCCATCTGCTTCAAATTGTGCCAAAACTTAATTCTCATTAGTTCTCATTAACTTCTGTGACCTCTTCAGTGTTGTAGGCTGTTTTTGCATATTATTATTATTATTATTATTATTACTACTACTACTACTACTACTACTACTACTACTACTATTACCACCACCACCACCACATTCTAATTTGTTCTTCATTCATGCCAGCCTGAAGCTTGCCCTTTCTATTCAATCAAGCCTTCCTTTCTTTGCCTTCTACCTGGCTCCTACTTTTTAGGGTGGCTTCAAATAGAACTATATCCAGCAGTAAAAAAATAAAATAAAATGTTTTCTGCAAGTATTTTCGGGCCAGCAAAACAAAGTAAATAAATACAATTCTGTCTTGGAGAGGACAAAGCTGTATTGAACCTCTGCCTATCTTAATATCGGTCTTTCTATGTCGGTATGTGTGTGTGCATGTGCGCACGCACATCTGTACATAATCTGCTGCAAAAACACCTCTCTCCATGTGTGCGCATGCGTGTGTGTGTGTGTGCGCATGCGCACACACACACACACACAGTATTTGCTTTAGGATGCAATGAATAGCCCTATAAATAGCCCTATAAATCCCAGATTGCCTAGGCTGCCAGCTAGGGAATCCTGGGAGCTGTAGGATCTTTTTCTACCTAACGATACATAGGATGACACCCTTAATACACTACCATTTGCTTAAAGAGGAGTTGTCACTGCAAGATGGAGCATCAAGAGTTTTATTCAACACAGGCCATCTATAAATCCCATTACACTGCTCAGCAAATGCCCGTTACTTATTTTATATTTTCAAATACATCCCCATCTGTGCTGCAAGGATTTTTTTTAGGTCACATACTCAATAATCCTTCTACACTTTGATGTCACATATTCAATAATTGTCTGCCTTCCACTTTTCTCTCCTTAATCCATCTCCTCTGATTAGCAGCAATCGCACCTTCAAAACACCCCTGCTTTTCTGGCCAAATGTATACGTGTGCATGATCCCTCTTTGTTTATACAACAGTTGCCAGTGTGATTTCCCTTCTGCTCTTAATTTCAGATAGCCACCCTGTCTCACTACTGCATTAAACAGCAACTCATTTGAATATTTACATTTAGGGCTATGTGCTAGATTGACACTCTCCCTTTAGCAGCCAAAACATAAGAAAAGCAATTATATTGGATTCAGACCTTGTATGTGGTGCCATTATTTACTTTTTCCCATGGGTAGCACTGATGACAAAGATTGCTTCAAACGCTGCTGAAATATGATGGAAACTGTTTATTCCTTGCCTTTTTATTTTTTAGTGACAGGAATATTCTGGAATGCTACTCCTAGACTATGTGCAACACTTGATAATTTTCAATACTACAGTGAGTTGTAACATACAGTACATATAGGGATGGATGAATCTATTAATTCTGGTTTATCTCAGTTTTTCATTTTTCCAGTCTTGTTTGATTCACTTCAAGCTTGGAAAATTTCTTAAGTATTTCTTAAGTTTGCACAAGCATTTATACCATGTTTGTGCCCATTTTATCTAATGCATACCTTGTTGTATGCATTTTTGCCTAAAATATATGTTTGCAAGCAATTTGCCTAATACAATGCAGTGTTGAGCATGATCTGGATCTTGGGGAAGGAAAACATCCAAATCCCCTTTAGCTATTGCTTCTGTCAGCTTGAGCAAATAAGTATTTTTAAGAGAGATTTTATTGATGAGGGCTGTCTTAGTTACATTCACCATTTAAACCATAACACAAAAGGAGTTAGCTGTCCATAAACAAGAGAACAACCGTTGTCTCTGAAATTTAAGGGATGGATCTTATCTTCCCTAGGAAACAGTCTTTGCTTATAGCAAAAGCTGAGGAAGGAATCTGCACTAAGTGTCCTTCTCAGACACTTCTGCTGGCCCCTTTCCTCTAATACACAATTCCAGCCAAGCCTCTGCCTTCTCCTGTTCTCAGGAGTTGAACGACCAGGTTGTTTAGTCAGTCCTACCAGGTTAGGGTTAATGAAGGGAAGATAGAAGTTATTTATTTCCCACAAGGAAGATGGGTCCTAAACAGATTGTAACTTGATTCTTTGCTTGGGTCAGGCTGGCTTGCAAATAGGTATACCTTTTATTGGTCTTTCCCAAATTCCTTTCCCCTCTGGTTCCCTGTTCTTGCTTTCCTTGATGTCCATCTCTCTGTTGTCCTTCCTCCTGGGCATCCTTTCTTAGCCCTCATCCTTTCCTTACTTCCTGTCTCCCTTTTATTCTCCTCCCTTTCCGTCGCTCCCCTTCCCGCCACCCCACTTCAGGTGGGCATCATTTGGCCAATGGAGCCAGCTACAAGCACCACACCGTCCATGCCACCTGCAATGGCTTGGAAGCCTGGCCATGTATATGGAAAATCAGTGATGCTGTGAGAGAGGCACTGGGTGCTCAGTAAAATAAGGCAAGCCCTGCTGATCGCTCGAACATGTGCCTTTCCATATACATTTCCGGATTGAGCAATGCCATTGCAGAATGTGAAGACATGCAAATCCTGAAGAAAAGCTAAGTTTCACAGCAGTTCAAGGATGGAAACTAGGCTGACATGTGAACTGAACGAATTCCTCCCCCATCCTAACAACAGATCGTTGCCATAGGCCTCAATGCTCTCTTGAATAATTGGACACTTTGGAACAGTGTATAGCACTGCATCAGAAGCTGAAGCTGTGCTTTGGATTAGTACTGTTGCAGCGCAATGTTTCCCACTCACCGGATTGTTGTACATCTGAACAATGAGCTGCTTCACACCATGGAGAGTAGGATGAGCCCAGGGAGAAGGATCCACCCAGTGTCGATTCAGATCAAACCCCATTAGGGAGCACCTGAAAAACACGTTTAGGGCAGACTATCAGTACTCAGGAGGTTATGCAGGGCTGGTGTGTATGGTCATAAGTTTAAGTGTCTGACACTGGTTTATTTTTATTGTTCTATTTCCCTTCCTCTAAAGTAACTCCTGCCCTACCAAATTGTCACCAATTCTACCTTGGAAGTCCATCATTTATTCTCTCTCTATTACCTAAATACTTCTAACAAAAATAGGCAAGTATGGTTCAACAGAGCATAGATGTTCCTTGGAAAGCAGCATTCTAAAGAACATTGTCCGGGAGCCATAGAGGTTACTTTTTGCTCCCCAATCAATAAATGAGAAATAAGACAGATCCAAAACTTTGGAATGGAACAGCATTGTGTGTTGGACTATCCATGGTTCCCCGACTGACCTTAACTGATATTTTAGACTTGCATTGTAGCCCATTTGCCAAAAGATTGACTTCACTTATCTAAAAGACTTGTTGGAATTTTGGTAGGGAGATGTATTAATGAGACAAGATTAAGATGGGAAAGGATTAGCTACCCCAAATGAACTTCTCTGTATTCAGCCCGAATGCAACCTTTTGGCTGCTTACATGCACATCACTCAAGGTATTTTCAACCTGAGCACAGATAACTCAAGTCTGAATGGCTTGTGCAGTACATCAGGCAAGAAAGGCATGCAGGAGTTTTAAATTTGAGACTGTCCTTCCAATAATTGCAAATGAACACTGAACAAAAGTTGGGCCTTTCACTTGCAAGTACTTTGTTAGCAAAAGTCTTGTTCCAGACAAGCATGTACTCTGAAACAATGCACGCATATTCTGCAGTTGGGTACAGAATATCTTCTGAGAAGCAGCTCTTAGATTCTCTTTCTAGATATAATTTTCCCTGAAAGGGCCCTCAGCTGCCTGCTATTGTTGGGGAAGATCTAATAACATACCTCAAGATGTGCTTTATTTTTAGTTTGCTTATTTTTTTTCTTACAGTCTCGCCTTGCTTTCAAGAGTGTTCAATCTATAGAAAATCACTAGGACCTCTGACTTTTCTTCCTTTGATCCCCCTGTCTTTTCTTTCCTGCACCTGTTATGTGCCTTGTGAGTCGCTTATAGGCCTATTCCCAGAAGGCAAGAGAGAGGGAGAAGAATGGAATAAGGGAGTTAAAGAAATCCTTTTTCATGGCCATGATATATTACAAAAAGAACTACACATACTTCCCATCTGCTTTGTGAGGAAATGCTGGTTCATTGGATCAGTACTAGGTTAATGTGCAGATAATACTGCACACAAAGCCTGCCAGTATAAATCCAAAAAAGGCACTAGAGGTAAGGGTTAGGATTTGAAAATGAAAAGGAGAGTGGGAAAAGAAAAGGACATTTTCTCCCCACCACCTGAAGTCCGAAAGGAGACAGAGCTTAATTGGCCTGAATAGTTACTCTGCTTGAAGACAAACATTCTAGCTGGAACTGTTCTGAGCCTGTAGCTTACAGTAGGAGGAAAGCCCTGTATTTTGAAAAATCAACTATTTGCTTCCTTTCTTAAAATTATTACATTCAATTTGAATTTCAGGTATTGAGAGGCATAAAATGAAATAAATGAATAAAATTTGATCGGCACCAAGTCCACCTGACATTCTAAAGCTGTTAATTGTCAGGAGCTTGGGTTCTGAACCAACTGTACTACAGAATAGGGCTTAACTCGCTGTTCACCCTCTGGAACAGGGAGCCGGTTCTCCAGAATCTCCAGGGACTTCCCGAGGTGAGTATCAAGGGCTGGCACTGGGTGTGGGCACCTTCTGAGGGCCCACGCCCAGTAAGAAAAGCCCAGAGCAGCTCCTCCTCCTTGTCATGACTTCAGTCTGCTCATTCCTCACCTCTTGATCTGGCCCAGGCAGTGGATGCCAACTTGTTTGGGCTCTCTGCCTGCCAAGCAAGCCGGTGGCAGCTGGTGACTATGTCGGGGGAAAGAAGACTTGCTGGTAGAGGAAGCCTTGCCTGATGTTCCTCCAAACCCTGGAGATGGTACTGCTCCTTCCTATCAATAGCATTGTGAATGCTAATCAGGGACATGAAAGTAACAGGAAGTCCAGCATTGGTCTTCCACATCTAATGGGTGCTAGCTCCCAGATGGATCAAGCCCATGGCTCACACTTGATCCTAGTCAGTTTCACCAGTCGCACAGAATCTTGCTCACTGCCACAGATCAACGTTTTCAAAGAAATAAGGACTCTACAGTCTCTAATGCTGCTGCTATTATTTGCTCAAGTCACATTTCCCTCTCCATGCTAAGCCCTTTTATGTTGCTTGCTTGCTTGTCAGGAAGATGCGGTATTCATGTTGGTGCCCATTACACACATAGGACTGGATCCCTGTGCTGGAGAAAGGCTTACGTTGTGGAGCTGAGCCCAGCTCCATTGCCTCTGCAGCAGCAGTCGCCATTCTGCGCTTGAGCCTTATACATTTTGTGCTAAAGTGCTCGACTGTGACTTGCAGGAGTGTGCCAGAAGGTGAAATTCACAGATTCCATTCTGTGAAATCTTAAGGACCATCTAGAGCCCAAGGCCCCAAAATTAACAAAATCTGGAGCTTCTTCCCTGCATCGCTAAGGGCTTTTTAAAAGGCAGGTGATACAAGCTAGTTAACTTTGCTCTGCATGCCAAGTGTAGGATTCTGCTTCAGCTGAGATGAAGCAAACAGCACTTTGCACCACAGCAGTTAAGGGGATTTTGGGAGCAAGGCATCCTGATTAGATTTCTCGTTTTGACTTTCACTCCTTCCAAACCCACAGGGCAATTTGGTAATGAGGCATGGCATTTGGTTCCATTTTCAGCCAGACTGCTTTGTGTACCATTTTTGCTTATGCAAAATTACAACTCTAGAAGAATTTGCAAAAGAGAATGTAATAATGGGTTTCTCGGCAGAGACAAAGTGGGCAGATGAGCATTAGCTGCTGAAGGCCACATGGTGGAGTAAACGTTTGTAGAATGAGTGACACAATGTTTAACAGTACATGATAGTTAACAAAGCGCTCCTCCATTTTCTCTTGTTAAAGAAAAATAAATGTATAGATGTCTTTTTCTCATGTGCCAACCCATTCATGGAAATACTCATGGGTATGAACAACAAGGACAAACTGGCGTATTCCACAGCGTGCCGTTCTTTAAGATTAGCAAGAAACACTTTGATCCAATGTTTATTCCCCTCACTTTCACACAAACCTCAGTTATGCCAGAGGGGGAAAGCATGAGTTAGTCCATATTTGCATGTGTTTGTTCATTATTTAAATGTATACATTATTAAATGCTTTGTTGAGCACCAAGCTGCAGTATAAATAACTGAGCAGACGAAAGAAAAGAGAAAATGCACAGATGCCCATGGTCAGCTAAGTACTCGAAAAGTAATCATCGTCAAACATACAGCCATAGAGTAAGCAACACAGTTATATAATATTCTTGTGTTCTATATATTCTTATGTTCTTATGAGTCTTCCTTAACGTGGTGCAATCCAGCTGCCTTCAGCTCCAGGCAGGCCAGCCAGCATGGGAATTGTAGTCTAAAGCATCTGGTGGAGGCATCAAATCAGGAAGGGTGGTCTATAAAATACCATCTTCAGAAGAATAAGTAGTAATTTCCACTGACATTAAATGATAAGGCAAAAGCAACTGTATGTATACAGAAAGGACGACTAGAGACTCATTCTGGCATTGCCTCTGTAAGCAGGGAGGTGTGATAAGGACTGTGACCACTGGCCCAGCCCAGAACACCAGTATATGTGGCATCTTTGTGCACAGCTAAATGTACATGGATGTTCCATGCAATTGGACATCCGGCATGGCCAGATTTTCTGATTTCAAAGAGCGCCCAAAGAGATATAGCTGTGCATGTGTAGGTATCTCCTTTTATGGCTTCTACTGAAAATGCAAACACAGAAGCAGGACCACTGGGGTGGAAGACAAAAACATCTGGGTGAAACCAGTCCCTCTGGTCCCTGTTTCCCTATTACGTACAGAGGGGAGACTTGAATAGAGCTCAGATGCAAGGAAGAACAATGTGGCTATTCGTTGCCATGTACGAGAAACGATATCTCCTGAAATAGTGACCCCACTGACCTTTTTTTAGAGACAGATCAGTGAAACTCCTCCTGTATCTCTTGCATCAATTGATTGATTTCCAAACACTGGGAATATGCTTTCCTAAGAGACTGCCAGACTGTTTTGCGTACACTTCAAAAGTCACAAGCAGAAGAGATGGAAAGGGAGTTGCTGAATGCAGTATGCCTGAAATTTACAAATGAAGATGCGTGGCTTTCAAGTAAAACTTCCATTGGACTAATGTAAATATGTATGGCCAAGCCAGGGTAACACTACTGATCTACAACTACTAACACTACTGTAATATAAATGGAATAGTTAAACAAAGGACCAGCCTGTGCAGAATAATGCTATTACGTATCGCTGTTCTTCCATTGCTGCAGCAAATGACTTCTATCTAATTTGAGAAAAAATATTTTTTACAAAGGCAAACATCTTTTAGTATCAAGTTTCATTATCAGGATTGAGGATTACTTAGCTCTGTATTTCTTTAGGCACAAAGCACTGACCCTCTTCTCTTCTCTTCTACTTTTTTTTTACCATTCCCATGGAGTATAACATCTCAAAAGTAGATGTTTGGTTTATGAATGGGGAAAACACACTTACCAATTCTTGACTGAAATGAACTAACAACTGCCCGAAAGTTAAGGCTGTTACCCAATGCATGCAATTTTAAATCAATTGTTTGTATAATTTTTGTTCATTAATCAAAAGATGAATGGATTAATTCTGCATTATTTTTCATGCAATAAAAGTAATTCTAAAATGCTTTCTTTGTTTTTAGAAGAGGCACACATTCATAGGAATCTTCCTCCTCTGCTACAGTTTTTAAACGTACTTATTATATATAATTTGAAACTTATTAAAATCTCTTGCGTGATTAACTGCAGGCATCGTTTGAGTTAATACACTATTCCAAGGGTA